GAGTAGTATCTCTAGAGAAATATGGAATATTTTCATATAGTTATATACCCAAGGTTATCTTTGATTTAAAATCAAAATACTCCAAGATTTCGAATTCCTTCCTACGTTTCGCGGATAGATATGTTATACATCGCTACCACATTACAGCTTATTCTCACCCACTAGGTACAAAGGTATCGTCAGGTATCTTCATTCTCATTATCCCTCTCCCTCTCATTCTCCCTCTCATCCTCATCCTCCCTCTCATCCCCATCTTTATTCTCATTCTTTAACACAAATTCATAACCATACATATCCTCATCCTCATCCTTATTCTCTATCCTAACTCATAATTCCACACATATACGTATACAAACATAAACCCATCTACACACCCTCCAATCCCAATATAACATAAAAACACTTCCCCCCTCTTCTCCTCTTCTACAAAATCTATCCTCATCCCACAACTTTCCTCCTCCCATTTCCAAAATTTCTAAATACTAGATACTAAATACTCCCTCTATCAATACTCTCTCCTCAGATGACCACATCCCCCTACTCCTCCTCATCTCCATCTCCATCTCCATCTCCATCTCCATCTCCATCTCCATCTCCATCTCCATCTCCATCTCCATCTTCATCTCCATCTCCATCTCTACATCTCCTAAAACACCCACCTCTCTTCATTCCAAATTTCCAACCCCATAATATAACGCCAAGAGTAATGATACCACGATGCGCTATACTGGACTTATAGTATATACCAGTCGATACCGGTTCGATGTTTGATAATATGTTTGGCTAGTCTGCGGTAATGGGGATAGGAATGAAAATGCTAGAGGGGATGAAGAATATATAATGTTGCACAACTTTGACTTCAGAGGGAACGATATGAATGATATCTTTGGTTTTACAAAGTATGCAATAAATGGACTTTTGTTTTCCTTCCTTCTCCTACCTACATATTTTCCTATCATATCATATCATATCATATATACATCCCCTCCACACAGTAATCCTTCCCATCATCTCCCTCACAACCCACCACCTAATTAAAAACCACCGTCTTATGACCATTCAACAAAACCCTTCTTTCCGTAACCCACTTCACCGCCGTCGCCAAAACATTACTCTCCACGTTGCTTCCCTCAACCGTCAACTCCTTTGGACTCAATCCATGACCCACCCTCACAACATTCTGCTCAATAATCGGACCCTCATCCAAATCACTCGTGACAAAATGTGCCGTGGCCCCAATAATCTTCACACCCCTATCATACGCCTGATGATACGGTTTCGCGCCCTTAAACGATGGCAGGAAAGAATGATGGATATTGATAATCTTCCCACTCATCGCCGTGCAGAGCGTGGGGCTCAACACCTGCATGTATCTCGCCAGAACAATCAAATCGATGTTATTCTCCTTGACCAATTCCAAGATTTTGCCCTCCTGCTCTGATTTGGTAGCAGCGGTAACAGGGAGATGATGGAAGGGAATCTTGTAGGTATTGGCCAGGGGTTCGAAATCCGGATGATTGGATACGATAAGTGGGACTTCGATACCCAGTTGCTGGATACTCTGACGGAAAAGTAAATCATTGAGACAATGACCGATTTTGGAAACCATGATGAGAACTCGAGGTTTGGTAGCCAGAGAAGAGAGTTGGAAATCCATACTCATTTCCTGGGCGATGGTTTCGAAAGCACCTTTTAATTCCTCGAGACTCAATTTCTTGGCTGAGGCGTCCGAGGTGGATGATGCAGGAGGTCCAAAATGCACCCTCATGAAGAAGCGGAGGGAAGTAGGATCTCCATATTGTTGCGAATCAACAATGTTGAGATTGTGCTGGGAGAGAAATCCCGTGACTGCATGGACGATACCTGGACGATCGGGACAGGAAAGGGTAAGGATGTATTCATCTGCTTTAACCATCTTGACTGATTTCTTCGTGGAAGCCTTTGCGAAAGATGGATGTGGAGAGCTTGAGAAACTTCGAACAGAGGATTGCGTTTGGAGTGGAGAGAGTTTGGTGATTGAGGCCAGATGGCGATGTTGTGGAGGATTGAAATTTTTTAAAGGCTCGGTTGTGGTGGAAGAAAGGGAGAAGGCCCTTGCTTGGGAGATGACTTCGCGAGCGGAGCAAATGGATCGAATTGAGTGTACGGATATAGTATTCAACAATAAAGTCGACTTAGTAGACAACCTGCTCGCCATTAAAATACATTCAATCTTTCTCACAGCCGATGACTCTTTTTGACCACTTTTATGCTCACTGCCATTAGTGGGTCGTTGGGGAAGTTTGTAGTCATAGCGACACGTGATTCCTTTATCCGGCGATGATTCGGAGAAATGGTTTAATAAAGCGAGTAAGAGTAAGTACGAGGCACGTTTGAGGCACGATATCCATTGCTCTAAACTTTATAGAGTTTGGGGAATTGGATATCTCTGGGCGGAGAAAGTTTACTTGTGGAGATGAGATGGGGTGCAACCGTTCAGTTACAAAATTGGTTCTTGTGAGATTTTGAGGATTGATCATTAATTGGTACTGGTGTTCGATTTTAACTTAAATATGCATGCGGATTGTACTCCTTGGATATGCAAATTTGCTTGGCATAAATCTATGCGTCACGAAGGACAAGATTCAATACCAACATAACCACCCATTACTTGATACAGTTACCTATTTTCTGTTTCTGTACGTATTCTATGCTGTTCAACTCCAGTATCATAATCATTACTCGTCTAGGTCATGTCATATTTCAATATCGGCATCTTGTTCTTAGTTGTGACTCATTCCGATACCGACCACAAATCTAATCATGATCTTTCTATTATCCAACTCGCTCTTCTGAAAATCATAAAAACTGCGTTTGATGTCTTCAATGCATCATGCGCCCATTCCATAACTCTTCACTCTACTCCAAAAGAAAGCTTTATCGTTCCTCAACGTGAACTCTCCCCAGTCATCCGTTAGGCGATTATAGTTCCAGAATCCATTCCAAGCCAATTTGTTATTTTTGACCGTCTTCCCTGCACTAGTCATCTTCAATTCCATTCTATAGAAATACTTTTCATGGACGCCTTCTGTTTCCACATACAATGTACCCTCTGACCCTCCAACTTTGGAAGAGGGTTCAGCATCTATATCTGGAGAAGGGGAATCATTGATCGAGGATAGGCGCCAACGTCCACGACGAGCGTCGCTCATCACAGCAGAGGGAAGATGTGAAGATTGATTTCTCCTGTGATATTCAAGAAGTTCCTTTGTCAAATGGTGAACGACTTCGCTAGGTTCGCTGGTGGTTAAAAGAGAGATTAATGTGCCATCGCGATAGAAACGAAGGTAGCGGTAATAGGTCACGATATGGACTGGAGAATTCCAAGCGACCGCTGAAGGAGAGGCTTGCCCAGGTCGAATATAGTTGACGGTGCTTATATAGCAGCCATTGAAACGAATGCGGGGACGTAAGCGGAACATTTGTTTCCAGGATGAAGAATAAGTTGATTGGAGTAAGGAATGGGTGACGGTATCGTTGCTGAGAGGCATTGGTGAAATAGGATCTTCACCTGAGTCTTCCAAGGGCAAAAGTAATTGAAGCTCGATTTCAAGAAGCTCTCCTGTGACTTCTGTTTGCCATTGATAATGCATTGCTTCGAATCCGAATTCTGAGCCAAGACATATTCTTTTCCAGATTTGTTCACCCGTCGCTACGAGATATGCCATGCGTTTGCATACTTGTGTGATTCGTGCAAGGTCAGCCACATCCCTAACTGCTACTTCTTTGAATATTTGTAATAGGATTTCATCAGGTACATCTGCAATTGGACATGGAGGCGCCGGTGTCCCTTCAATTTCTGGTGGCGATGGTTCAATTGATAAATCCGAAAAGCTTTCGATCAATTGTTTGATAGTTTGTGGGGGCCCATCTGGTGAGTGGTGTGCGGTATTGGGTACTGTGGCAGATGCATTGGATGGATTTGTGTTTGTAGGTTTCGGTGGGAAGGCAGATGGTGGGAAATGTTTGTTCTTATATTTTCGATCAACTTGATCATCAAGCTTATGATAATTAGCAAAAGTCTTGTAGGTTGAATTCATGTGGAACCAAACTTACCCGAAATGCTTTGCGGTAGAGATCAAGACTGTCTCCTAAACTACCTTGACCTTCCCTCTCTACCGCTTTTTCATAGTGTTCCAAAGCTGATTGTGGCTCACTATTGCCATTCTTCTTACCGTATGGATAGAATTCATCTTCTTCTCCTGCACCAACGGCGCCACTTGGTTCGTCAAAGTGCAATGTTTGAGGCTCAACGATATCCTCATCTCCCGTTTTAATATTCTCATGAACATGTTTTGTCCGTGGAGCTCTTTGTGGTACGTTAGATGGACCAGCCGCTTGGGTTGGAGGATATGCCTGGGCAACATTTGTCCGTCTAGTCACTTCTTCCTGCCATTGCTTGCGGAATGTTTCCAATTCGGGATTCGAGTCTTCCATACTATGAATTTAGGATGATAGGTATATGATGTTTTGAAGAGAGAGAGAGTGAAATAGAAACGTATTAGGAAAAGATCTTGCTATTCACCATATATTAGTATGAGATGAAGTAAACAGTGACCTAGTAATTCTTCGGTCTGACGCGAACGCTATCTATCGCCGCTGACATAATTACAACACCTCTTATCGCCGCAAGATCCGTTATCGCTCCCAATTTTTTCTTTGATCAGTGGAGAACTCTAAGATCGAAGGCGGGAGGAATTAAGTTTTCGGTCTATTCAATTCCACAGTTCTAACTTACAATAAGAAAAACGAACTACCCATTAGGTATTCAATTTACATCATGATGATCAGTAGAATTTAAGCCGTTATTCCCGTCTTTTTGAAGTTATACAAATACAACAACCATACATGATTCAACAACGTTAATAATTGATTTCCTTCTTCAATACCTTGACTCTCACATCGCAATTGCTCAAGATTACTCGTCAATTCGACGTCATTCCACTCAAACAAAATCTTTTATGTCCGGCCTTTGGGATAGTCGCCCTTCATCTGTGGGGGACCGAATCCCAACAACTTTTGAATCCGAACATTTAGGACATGACAGAATACACGGAGATGATCCAATACCTGGAGAATCAGGAACTGTAGCCATGACAGGCGATAATGATGATGTCGATATTGAGATCACGGCATCTCAAAAGATGATCTCGGCAATGTCTGGAAGTCTATTAACATCATTATTGGGTACGTACGCCACCCAGCATTTGAAATCTATAACAAGTTTCAACTAACACTTCTATTGTAGTTACGCCATTAGATGTTGTTAGGGTCCGTCTACAGTCACAACCTTCCCAATCTCCTTTGTCAGCGATTCGAAAAGCTGCTCTGGCCTCCCCTCAAACTTTCGGTACATTACCACCAAATCTAGGAATAACAGCATGTTGTCGAGAAGTTTTCTTTACCAGCGGCACAACGAGCGATGGTTGTATGGCTGCGCCTAGAATAAGCGCAATGGAGGGTGTTGGATGTGCCGTTGAAGAGACACAAAAAAAAACCTATAATTCAACTTTCGATGGGATGAGAAAGATTGCGCGGAATGAAGGAGTCACGACTTTATGGCGAGGATTGTCACCTACTTTGGTCATGACAGTTCCTTCGAACATAATTTACTTTACGGGATACGACTGGTTAAGATTCAACAACCAAAGTCCTATAAATCGCATTTTCAATGACAATTACGCCCCTCTTGCTGCTGGCGCTTCCGCCAGGACTATAGCCGCTGCAGTTGTCAGCCCGATCGAAATGTTTAGAACGAGAATGCAAGCTAGTCAGGCAACTGGAGGAACGCATTTTTCGGAAACTGTGAAGAGTGTCGGCGAAATGGTTTCACTTCACGGCTATACGTCTTTGTGGCGAGGATTAACTTTAACACTTTGGAGGGATGTTCCATTTTCTGGAATTTACTGGTGGGGTTATGAATCCATAAGAGGGGCTTTGACAGATGCGCGAGAGCGGGGTCGTGGGAGAACATATGATCGGAATACTTCTCGAGGTCAAATACGTACCAGATCACAAAGTCGAGAAAATCACTCAGCGACATTCCTAGATAGTTTTATTGCTGGGGCGTCATCTGGAGCAGTTGCTTCTATTCTGACTATGCCTTTCGATGTTGGAAAAACACGTCAACAAATCTTCCAGGAACCAGGGAAAACACCCGCTGGAGTTGAAAAGATTTTAGCACCTGAAGAACAATCCATGCCAAGGTTTCTTATGCACATCTTCAAAGAAGAAGGTCTCGGAGGTTTATGGAAAGGATGGGTCGCCAGGACTCTAAAGGTCGCTCCAGCATGTGCAATTATGATCAGTTGTTATGAAGTAGGGAAGAGAGCATTCAGGAGTGTGAATGAGAAAGCGGAATTAAAGCGAGGAACCGAGTGATGAAATGAATTCTCCCCTCTTCTGGACGAATGGAAGGTTGGTTGGTTTGGCGCATAAAGGGAACACGGAATTGTAATACCAAGCGTCTAGAAGCATAGCGATTTTGAGCAGGTATCCGGAATTTTGTATAGTATTAGAGATCCTAGAAACTAAGATAACTTGAGCGAGATTAATATACCCAAAGTTTGAAAATTGAAGAACAGGAAGCAATATCAATCCATGACTATAGTGAAAGGGTGATTGAGAAGATGAGTGAGAAGATGAGTGAGGACTACGACCCGACCCGTATTTACCCCAGACTTTTGTTTGGCTCTGAGAGCGCTGATACCGCGTACCCCAGTAAATCAACTTTACGCGTCTTAAGGTGCTCTGACGCGAAACTTGCATCATAGATTTGGGAAATTCAAACTTTCCCAATATTCAAGATTACATAGAGCTGACTTTGTATCTCGTATATTCTATCCAAACGAATCTTTATTTACTTATTACCTATATCAGACTGTCTATACTACTCCTTTTTCATCATCGACCTTTTCCTCCAATTCCCATCATGTCTCTCAAACGTAAAGCAACCACAAATCCTACTAACGACGCCAAAAAACCTAAAGCAAACGGATCAATTACTTCATTCTTCGGTCCACCAAAAACCGTATCCTCAACTGCCAAAGGATCTGGTAACTCTGCAGATTCTACTGCACCAGCAGCAGCAGCATTCAAATTCAACAAGGAGAAATGGATAGCTACATTAACAGAAGAGCAGAAGGATTTGTTGAAATTGGAGATTGAAACACTACATGAGAGCTGGTTGGCTGTATTAAAAGATGAAATTGTAGGAAAAGAATTTCTGGAATTAAAGAAGTTTTTGAAGAAGGAATTGGAGGGAAAGGATAAGATATTTCCTCCGATGGAAGATGTTTACTCTTGGTATTTACATTCTTGCCTTCATTCAATCGTTCAATTGCGCTCAAGTAACAAATGGTTAATCAAAACAATGAACAGGTCAAGGCATACACCTTTCAACACCGTCAAAGCTGTAATCATTGGCCAAGATCCGTACCATAACTTTAATCAAGCTCATGGTCTCTGTTTCTCCGTCCGCGCTCCTACACCGGCTCCACCTTCACTCAAGAACATATTCAAAGCCCTCGCAAAAGATTATCCAGACTTCAAACCTCCTCCAAATAATGGCGGTCTCCTTACTCCCTGGGCAGATCGCGGTGTCCTTCTCATCAACACATGTCTTACAGTCCGAGCTCACCAAGCCAATTCCCATGCAAACCATGGCTGGGAAAGATTTACTCAAAAAGTCATCGATACAGTTGCTCTTAAAAGAAACAAAGGAGTGGTGTTTTTGGCATGGGGAAGTCCTGCAGGAAAAAGAGTTGCGAAAGTGGATAGGAAGAAACATTGTGTTTTGATGAGTGTACATCCTAGTCCTTTGAGTGCGAGTAGGGGATGGTTTGATTGTGGGCATTTTAAGAAGACGAATGAGTGGTTGACTGAGCATCATGGGGAAGATGCAGTTATTGATTGGAGTTTGGATATTCCTGCTGCTAAAGCGGGCGTTTGAGGTGATGAAATATTTTGTGGGAGATGATCTTAGAGGGGAAATTGGCTAGCGCTTTCGAGTGACCACAAGCTCTCGTCTCCAATTAGGATTGCACGCAAAGGGAGTTCGATTTTAAGCATTGGGTAATGAACGTCACTGCAATGGTTTCTATCATGATGGAACTTCCTTGGCTATATGAGTTCAGTCCGCCTTTTTATGAAATTGATGATAGAAGTTCGTTTTGTTCTCTAACGGCGCAGGGTATTGAGAGAATCGGAGTTCATTTGTTAGCCCATCTCAATGTTTGGGTAACTAAGGTCATACATTTTATCGTATAACATAGAATACTACATTGATATACCTCTCACCCCTTAGGGGACTTGTAATGACTCTCTGTATGTGGTACATTGTTCCACAAGAACTGTTGATACTCGGTTTACTTCAATGTTTTGTTGAGTCTCATCAAACTATTCTCTTATCTTTTCAACTGATTATCGCGGATACCCCATGGATCGAACCTTGATTCGGGTTCGTACAGCATTGCAAATCCTGTTGTATATCCTTCCGAGAAATAATCACTGGTGGGTGCCATCCTCTCTGCAGGATTTCCTATCTTCACAGTTGCTTCTTCGAAGAAAATACAACTGATATCTGAACATCTCAAAATATGGTAGAATTGAATGATATTGCTTTCATTATTGCAGTATTCATCAGTGGCCTCTTCGTCCTCGAATTTGGCGCCGACAAGTTTATTGACAATACCGCCATCATAGCAGCTCGATTGAATGTCTCACCCACATTGATTGCGTTGCTGACATCTGGTGCGGAATGGGAAGAAGTAAATGGAAATACTCACGTCAACAGTAGCATTGGAAAAAGTGACAAGAGTTACCATCTTGGTTATTGCAGCCATTTCTCAGCATCAATCTTCACTCGCAATTGGCAATATCGTTGAATCATCCATCTCGACTATTCGAGGTGCTTTTCCCCTAGGTCTGATTTTTCTCCGGCTTCTATTACGTTTGATAAGAGCTCAAAGATCTATACCATCATTCTTGTCATTGCCACTTCTATTTTCTCCGCATTTCCCTTTCTCTTCGAATCAAGGGGGCGGAATGGTGGGAGCGACGCTTATCGCTGATTTTGTGATAAATGGCATCTCTATAATAGATGCGATATATAAAGGCATTATCTCTGCACCAGAGGATGATTCAGATGGTGGCAGTGATACTTCTTTAGATGAGAAGGGCTTTGATGAGAGCGTGTTTGTAAAGTTTCGTTTTCCTATGCGTCCAGGTAGCACTAGACTGCAAGCCAAGCCACAGACTCTCGATGAATATGAAAATCTTGCGCCCCGAGAGTCTGTGGAAGAACATAACAAAGAAATTGGACAAAAGAATACTAGGTAGTTTCAAGTTTCAACACGGGACACTCCATTCAATTTTCTACTATATCCTACATCTCATACTTGGTCTCTTTGCACTTCTCCTCTCAGCATATATCTGATCTTATAGTATTACGTCATTAACAACCTCGCTTTCTCTCTCTACTACGGTTATTGGAACTATTACTCTTTCCATTGCGACGACACTTTCTGAAAACCTTGCCGTTGTTCTATCTGGAGAGAAAAGGCAAGGAGGAATCATTCTAGAGAACAAGGTTGGCTCGAATATCTTTCTATTGACATTATGCGCGAGCATTTGTTTCTCACCGGTAATTTGGAGGATTTGATAAACAGCATGGGGCTTTCGAGGTGGCTTGCATATGAGAATCCAATGTAATACTTTGCGAGATTATATTCATAGAGAGTAGATTATGAACGGGCTGGGTATTAGCGGGCTTGAATTTGGCGTTTTTGGTCGCTGAATCCCTATTGGTGAAAATGTGATTCTCAGTTAGATGTTCTGAACCTGTAGCTTTCGGTATCAAATAGAGATAGTGTAGGCTCAAGTCCAGTTCCTACTTTATTGACACATCATAGATGATTGGTGTCAGAACACAGTTTGGGTACTAAGGCGTCTCTACTTCTACCTGGAATGACGGCACGGTTTTATTTTTATATTCGTTATGTCGCAGGAAAGTTGAATGCTCAAAGTTGCACCGCATAGCATTTATCTAGTGATGAATGAGCATCACATGTTCACACATTCAGAGAGGTGGCATAGAAAACAGGAGAGCGGCTCGAGATGGCGGAATATGAGCGCGTGCTGAAAAGCTGGGTAATTTTGTCCTACCATGTGTTACTTTGGTGATCTATACATCCCGTGAGATCAGATAACTAGATAGGAGATAAATGCGCCTGATCAAGCCTGCGACGGGACAGATGTGTATACCAATTAAATTTACTTGGCAAAAATGGCGCCACACAAATCTATAATATGGCTCTCATATGTTTTGAAAATATATCGGCCACCCCTTTTCTCGAGTAGTCCTCAAAACATCAAGCATGGACCAACCCGGAACTCACATTTCTTCAGCCGAACCTGCGAGCAACGATTTCGAATCGAAGCATTCGAATGAGAAGAAGTCTAGTATCAATTTGGTGGTTGATAGTGAACTTCAAGACTCTTCCTCAAATTTACATTCGTCGCGAAAGCACCTTCCCCTACGATCTACCAAACAAGTGGCAAAATTATTATAGAAATTTGCCAAGTTTATGGTTAGGGTGCTCCGATCTTCGCAGCAGGATTATTGTTCAGCGGCGTTAGTGCAAGCATCGTGACGACGGTGGCGAGACAACTTATTTGTGAAGGAGCGATGGATTAGCGCATGGCGCCGTTTTGGAGAAGATTGCTCACGAGATGTATGGTGATCATTCTGGTGGTTGGGATTGCTGCGGTGATGGGACGTAGGGGCTTAGAGGAGGCGTTGATGGGGTGCAATGTTGTGATGAGTGTTGAGCTGGTTTTTGTTGCGGCGCTGTTGGTTTGGTATACGTGTTGTGAGAGGCTTTTGAGGGTTGGAGTTTGGGATGGAGAGAGAGGTGGGAGAGAGAATACTATTAGTTTGGCAAATGGTGGCTGCTTTGGTTTGTGGTTGCTGGAATGAATGTGGCGCTTTTGACGTTTTGGGGGTCGAGCATTAAAAGGGATGGTTAGATGGAAGATTAAATGGAAGATTAAGAGTTGAATGCTTAGAGAGAAAGGAGATCTTACAATGGACAATCGAAGAAATGAAACTCTTGAACGAGAATTAGATTTGAGATAAGCAGAGAAGCAGTATACTGATACGCGGCGAGGGCAATGATTGATCTTGATATATGATAGCAATATGGAACTGATTCAAGTGTATAGTATACTTCCGGTGATGAGAACGTTGTTTGAGAAGGTGCTTTTCAAATACGTTGATACTTCAAGCAATTGCTGAGAGACTATGCAGAATGCTGTAAGTAATATCAAATTTTCCATCATTGAATTCTTCCATTTGTGGCTTTGAAAGATAAATTATAAACGAATGCCATCAAAGCGAGTTCAATCTCATCATTTTATCAAGGTAAGTGGCGTGATTCGAGGTTTTTAAAGTAAGTTGTCGTTGAAAGATGTGGTTCTTGTGGTGCGAGAACAGGGAGAGCTAGCACTAATTAGTAATGGTAAGAGCTCTTATCCTCGTAGTTAGACAGTCCACTTGTTTCAATCAATCTCTGAATGTCCTCCTTTTCTAGCCTACACTTTCCGCTCTATCTCGTAGAGAGTCATACTTGAAACAGTTGTGCTAATTTTCGTTTTCCACTCGCTTCTCCCCTGATCCATCCATTATCAATCTATCAAGTGATGTTATGATATATCTTAAATTCTGGTGAGAGTGATATGTCTCGAGATTGAACGTAGGGACAAGAAGAGATGCTCATGGAGTTCAAAACAAAGTAAGGACTTGAGAGCAATACGAAAGGGAAAAGTTACTCGATCATCAGAATCTCAAAGCGCCAGAAGCAATGTAGAATTCCACGTACATATTTAGTATGTGTTTGATAGATATGATTCTCGAAGACTTGAACATAGTCCTGAGAATTGTGCTGTACTCTTATTCCTAGGAAAGTTTGGTGTACGGTCCTGTAAATCGCATAATGCGGCGAAGGGGGTCTGTAGGATAGACAGGTAGTCATCTCAAACAGTTTTCGTGTAACAAGTGTTGATCATTTATTTCATTATTTAATATGTTCATTGCATAAAATCATAACAACGGCCCGCGTGTACATCCGACTACCGTAAAATTCCACAAAGCCAATCCCAAGGTAACATTATTCCCGCATCCGGCATTTCTCCATGTCGATCGCGTCAAACACTGAACACAAAGCATAACTACATACATGACATTTGCCGCTACACGCATACCAATTCGTTCTCAGAGATACTCCAGTCTGCCCCTCATCGATCTCCGCCTAGATATCCTTCAACTGCACATAGTCATGATTTCTAATAATCAAATCATCTTCCCACCACATCAATGTACAACCTACCAATTTTTTCAATTCTGTTTTTTCTTTCGGCAGTCGCTCGCCCGTCTCTGGAGATATCGCTGGCCTGCATGTAATTTCCCACTCCCAGGCTGTGAAATCTTTGTGTCCATGTACGGAGGCAGTGGTTATTGTGAGATCGTAGAAATCGGAAAAGGTGTGAGTATAATGCGAGGCGATTTCCGCGAGACCTACAGATTTATTGTTGGGTGTGCCTGGGTGAGAGATGTCATTAGTGAGTACTGAGGGATAACGATATGGGAAATCATACTAAAATCTATGTAGACAAAGTTGGTTGGATGATAGTATTTCATGATGGCTTCCGTGTCGCCTTTCTTGTATGCCTTGATGTATGCATCCATGCGTTTCATGATGTGGTCATGGTCGCCATGCTTCTTGTGCTGTACATGAAGGGGGTGTTTATGAGGGGACATCTTGGATTTTCTCTGGCGTTGGGAGTCACTATTGTGAGAGTATTCGAGAAGTCTTGAATATGTTGCTGAAAACGCGCGAAAAGAGTAAAAAATGTGAAATTGGCCCAACCTATTCGGGAGAGTAGACGCAATATGAATGGGCTCACGATTCTGTGCCTCGGTTTTGATCATTTGAAAATTGCGAAAGAGGGGTATTAATGCTAAGTTCCTGGGGCCTGCTCAATTGAGGGTTGCGAAAGAGGGGCATTGATGCCATGATCACCCCACCTCTGCCTCTACACATCGATTGCCCTTCGGAAGTGAGGCTTTTCATCCGTATCCCACCTATATATCTCACTTTCTTGGTTTCTTTCAAGTGTTCGTTCATTCTGATCACAGTTGATTGGAAAGTGGACGATGGCGATCAGATGAGCACAGCCAAGCGCAGCTGATAACACAAATTATCTGCACGATTTTCTGAATGCGTTACTACTCCGTTTCATCCTTGCGATTGATAATCCAGCTGAACAACAGCCTTGGTGGGGCTGAGGCAATTATAACATCTGGTATGTGATCATAATTGGATAATAGATGATGGCTGTTAGGTGATGTATCCGATCGGCTTGCCAAGCGGATCGTTCCAAGATTCATGCTTAAATCTGATCTGCATCATCTTCTTCATTCGGTACATTCTCCAGAGGCTGAGCGAACTACATGGTTGAGGTGGGGTCGGAGTTTATGACCCTTGCGATGTTCGATATTGCTACTGCGGGGCAAAGAAGAGAAGGAGAGTTGAAACACAGCAGGCAAATCAAAACTTTTCTCGCCACGAAGAGTAATAAGAGAAGAAGGATTGAAACAAACTATGAAAATCGAACCTTTTTCTCACCATTCAAGGTCGAGTGAAAGTCGAACATATCTATTTCAAGTCTCTTTCCACACCATTCAACAAAGATGACAGTCTTGGAATCACCAACCGCTATCGATGAGTCTACCAACGATAATGGAACACTTTTCTCGGCACATTTGATGGAAAACAATGGTGATAGTGCTACCGATCAACTTGTGCCTGTCTTTGACGCCTTGGAATCTGAAAATTTTACTCTCGGTTCAAGATCCTCTCGAAGTGATGCGAAAAAGGCATTTGGTGTTAGTCAGCCTTCTACATACGACGGAAGTGGGGATGGGCCGCTTTTGTTAGCACTGCTGATGGGAAATAACAACAATAACGCCAATGCCGCGGCTCAGCCCGCTCCAGAGAATGCTGTTTCTGATACCTTGAATCCTAACCATTTTGCTCTCGAGCTAACCTCCGCTGAAAATGGAGAAGAAGAAATTGACAACAACCCATCCTCAATCGACGGCGAGGATGGACCACTCTTGTTCGGACTCTTGTTGAACAATCAGAATAACAACAATGGGACCGACCCTAGATTGAATAATGCACGACCGAGTGATACCTTGGATCCGAGAGACTTCGCTCTTGAGTTGAAGACTGTTGAGGGTCAATCCGCCGACGGCGAGGATGGACCACTTCTCCTGTCACTAACTACCGTTAAGACCCCCACAAAAGCATTCAGCGCTGTTCCCGACACTTTGGATCCTAGGAGTGTTGCCTTAGAATTGAAGTCTGCAGTGGCCAATGATAATGTAAATATCAATGAGTCATCTGTCGAGGTCGGTGGTGATGGGCCACTTCTATTCGCATTGTTATTGAACAATCAAAACAACAACAATTGTATCAGCAACATTCCAAACAACAACAACAACAACAACAACGACAACAAGGGTGCCGAATCCAAAAATAATAACGCGATTTCAGATACTTTGGATCCCAGAATTGTTGCCTTGGAATTGAAGCCTGGAATATTTGATGATGTAAATGTCAAGGATTCATCCGTTGAAGGCGGTGGTGAAGACGGTCCACTTTTGTTCACATTGATGCTCAGCCAGAACACTAATCCTGAAGCTGGCAGAGCTGATGTTGGAGCCATACCAGATTCGTTGAGCCCTACAGATGTCGCTCTGGAATTGCCAGAGTTGTATTCCTCCGGGGAAACTATCACTGAAGCGATTCCCGATGTCTTGGAGATGAAAACTCAGTTACTAGAGTTGCATCCTTCTAAAGATGCTATTACAGAAGCTATTCCAGACGTTTTGGAGATGAAGACTCAACTGCTAGAGTTACATTCGCCAGGAGATGACGAGGCCAATAGCATCCCCATCATGTTAAAGGTGAACTCTCAAGCTCAAAAAGCTCAAATACTGGCAATGCTTCAAGGTCGTTCAATTCCAATAGCCATCGCTTCCAATGGTACCAATGGGGTTTTTGCGAATGAAACACTTGACAGAGCGCAAGTCACCGCTGTCAATTTGCAATTCACGCCCCACGTTGCTCTCAACGAGGCGAAATCTGGTAATTTGAGCGACGAGCAACTACAGTTTTGGAGAGAAAATGGATATCTCGTCATTCCAGATACACTATCAGACAGCCAAAAAGATCACTTGCTTAAGACTGTGCATGAAGCAGCGCAAGTACTTGCTGGCGGCGGCGAGAGAGTACAGAAACATGCCTATCTCCCAGGACAGAAATCTTACGTGAGTCCTGTGGGTCGAGCAATCGCCACATTGAGTGAACGTAAGTTGCACACACTCTAGTCGTTATTACATAATACTAATCTGGAATACTTCAACAAGATGGCTTCAACCCCGACGTCGAACCCCTAAAACGTATCCAACGTATCGGCTGCGGAATCCACCGCGTCATGCCCCCATTCCGAAAAGCCATCCTCAGTCCCTTCCATTCCACACTCGCCAAATCCCTCGGCTACAAAGACCCACGCATATACCAGAGTCTAATCATCGTCAAAGCCGCCGAGGTCGGTGCACGTGTGATTCCTCACCAAGATGGCTGTTCGGGATTCACAAATCCATCGAGTTGTACGACTTTCTGGTATGCGCTTGAAGATTGTTCGACGGAGAATGGGTGCTTGGCGGTCGCGCCGGGTAGTCATCGTGTACAACCCATTACGAGACGCTGTATCACTAATGGGAATGGACAACCAGAGTTTACTGATTTGGAAAAGCCGGTTTATGCGCACATTGAAGGGGTAGATGATTCGACTCTGCCAAAGAAGAATGAGAAGGGAGAGTTTGAATATAAGAAGTTGGAGGTGAAAGCAGGAACTTTGGTATTGATGCATGGTAATCTGATGCATAAGAGTGAGGCGAATCAAAGTAGTAAGAGCCGTGTTGCGTTCAATTTTGGGGTCGTGGAGGGTGAACACGGGTGGCTAGAAGATAACTATCTTCAGCCCTGTGAAGGAACGACAGCGTTTGAGAACTTGTGAAGCAATTATATAGTTTGAATCTTGTGTTCTGTCTTTTGTATAACGCTAATAGCAAATAAAGAGTTTGAATCAAATCAGGACAATCGCTCCACTAACTTTAGTAAAATTTAAAGCGTGTAAAGCCTGCAAGGTGTTTTCAAGCAGGTGTGTGTGAATATATAAAGTGTAAAATTTAACATGAATTGCAATAACGCTATCAAGAACTATGTGGATATATATACAAAGAAATAGTTCCTTCTCCTTCCTCCTGTATCCTTTCAATCAGAACGCTGAAGTTCTTACAATACTCTATTCATCAAGCTCATAGCCGAATGGGCAGGTATCATCGTCATCATCACCAGAGGAAGCGCTAGCAGCTGCTGAGGAAGCAGATGTAGTAGCTCCTGAAACAGCTGATGCGGATGCAGCAGCGCTTGAAACTGCTGGAGCTGAAGCAACGCTGCTTCCTGAAGAAGATGAAGAAGAAGTCGTGGAGGCAGTAGAGGAGATGGTCTCTCCAGCCAATGCCAAGATCTTCTGAGCGGCTTCCTCAGCAGCAACCATGACGATCGCTTGAGTGTTACCAGTTGGCATATCAGGGTGCATAGAAGCATCCACGACGAACAAGTTATCGGTTCCCCAAACTTGGGTGTTGGTATCGACAACTGAAGTTCCATCGTTGGTCTCACCCATAATAGCAGTACCGGTGAAATGATCACCGGTAACGTAGGTACCAGCGGAGACCAAAGAAGCACCGGTAATGGTGCTATCGGATGGTGTAAGCATGGTGCTATTCTTGGCGGCATTGAGGAAGTAGTCGATAATGGTTTCGATGGCAGATTGATCGTCGGCGGTGTTCATCCATGGGTTAGTGGTGAATTCTGTGGCACCGGAACTGGTAATACCGAGAACACCGGTGGATGTCAAACCGTGGGTGAGGTAGAGCTTGATGCGGATTTGACCACTAGCTGGGGAGTTACAGGTTCCTTGGAAGTATTTGGTTCCGCTGGTGGTGTTGAGGGAAGTCCAGAAGTTCAATCTTTGACCAGATTGAACAAGTGGTCCAGTTTGTTGGGCGAAGAGATCAATGTTGGCGGTACTTGGGGAGGTGAAATCAGTTGATGCCAACGAGGTGGAGTTGCTAGCCATAGCACCGGTAACGTTGAAAGTGAGGGTAAAGATTGGGTGATCCTTGAGGTTCTTTCCGACTGGAAGGTTGATCCAGTCAGATTCAGCTGGGAGAGTAACACAGCTGCTTCCGTTCTTCACAGTGGTGATTTGATCGGTTGGGCCAATTCCGCTGTTCATCAAGATACGAGGAGTAGACATGGCTCCAGCAGCGAGAATAAGCTTACCACCTGCATTGAGGTTGATGATTTGGCGAATACCAGTGTTAGAGTTTTCAACTTCAACACCAGAGAATGTGGTACTGTTGGTGGTGCTTCGGATACCTCTTACGACCTTAGTATTAAATTGGGCTTTGAAGTTGCTCATGGCAGTGGCGAGAGGGTAGTAAGACTTGACTGGGCCAGCACGGAGACCATCTTGGATATCCCATGGTGGATGAGAGTAAGCTAGAGTCTTCGAGTTTGGTGATTCGATAGCATCAACTTCGGACCATCCAAGGTTACCCAAGAATGAAGAGAGAACGTTCCATACGCTTTGATCGTATCTTTGCGAGTTTGAGGTAGGGTTGGTAGTACCAGGGTTACGCTCATAGAGTCTGTCGGCGGATGCACTGACATCGGTCCATTTCCATCCAGTTGGCCATTTGTCATCGAAATCAGCCTCTTGTGGACGAACGAACATCAAGGCATTGACCATAGTACCACCCCCAAGAATACAACCAGCCATGGAAGCAGTGTCAGTGCAGTATTCATCAGAGACAGAAGCGGATGTAAGATAGTATGCCATAGAAGGAACATCATATTGGGTGACAGTGTCGTTCCATGAAACAGTGGATCTACCACCAGTAGCATAGGTGGAAACGTTTCCTCTCTCTAACATCAAGACAGATGCACCGCTCTCGGCAAGACGCTCTGCAACGATGATACCAGCTGGACCTGCACCTGCGATGATGTAATCGTAGGTTGAGTTAGAAGTTGATACGGTAGTGTTTGAGCAAGTGGTAGTAGTGGTAGATGCGGTTGTATTGCTGGCAGTGGCAGCGCTGGCCATAGCAGCCCACGTGGCGTAGTTATCGTTTGCAGCACTGGCAGTTTGAATGCCGAAATCACCATATCCAGTACCGTGATAAGTGAAAGTCGCATCGGTAGCAGAGGCAGCATTTGTGACTGTGCCGTTACCAAAAGCCCATCCAACAACGACCTGAGCAGCACCAGCCGCTAAAGTATAAGTGTTTCCAATACAAGCTTGGCAAAGGAAAGTGTATGACATGTGGGTTGAGTTGACAAAGGTACCATTTGCAATCGGCAACAATTGTGCCGTGGCATTTGCGTAGGCACCTGGAGAAGTATATCCACTGGTCTCGCGCAACGATGCAATGACATCAGTTCCACTGGGCCAAGCAACAATCAACATACTGCCAACCATACTACCAGTCAATGAAACACCTCCATATCCTGAACCAGCTGTACTTGGGATGACCTAATCAATGTTAGCATACTAAGCAGTCACCATGGGATGAACAGGTTCTTACAATTTGTCCGATGAAGTCAGATGTGGCATTGGCCTCCATGACCATACCGAACTGGAATCCTGTGGTGTCTGTTGCACCCTCGAACGTGATCCCAGTGTTGGCATCCACATAAGAGACAGCTGTTTGAGCAAGAGCTCTGGCGGCAAAGCCAAGAGTGAGTAAGGAAGTGCGCATCTTGAAGATTTGAGATGTGTTTCTTGCGATAGTTGAATTTAAATGAATGTGTATATAAAGTTGTTACTTTCGGAAAATGGTCACCAGACCTGTCAATGAGAGTTTAAGAAAGGAATGAATTTGACAAAGAATGTATACCGTCAAGGCAACAACTCAAAGGAAGGAATGAGAGAAGGAACGGAAGAGAGAAAAGAAACAATTCTTGCGATACATAGGAAAACTCAAATTTTGCGCAGACGCAAACCTTTTTGTACTTTCAAAAGTTCGAAATACTCCTAACCTTGTTAAATTCATTGCAATTAATCCACTGTCAATGATCCAGAAAGCTTCGATCATCGAATTCATCTATTCGAGCCTCGACTGTGTCCACTGACCCGGTAAAGTTTGGTACATGCTTGATTGAGGTTCCTAATCCCTTCTCTCTCATTTGTTTCGTTTTGTATCGTGTATCTACTTCATTCAAATGTGGATCGATCAATAGAGGGGAAGGTACGCCATGAGGCTGTCATTAGATAAATTTATATTGAGGGGTAAATTGGTAAATTGGATAATCGTCATCTAGACAATTCGCTATGGAAAGCCCCTGTTCGCACGTTTCAAAAGCTTTCTTTCGCCTATTTTGACGTTTCAGGATCTTGCCGGTTCAGGGAGTTCTAGGGAATATTGATCCACTCGGATTCCCATTTCTGGCCTATAGTTTAAACGTTCATCCGAGTATGTTCTAGAAACGGCAAAATCATGCCAGGATGAAGTTCCTGCATGTAAAAGCTCGTTAGTTGTGGTGGTTTCATGGCAAAAAAAATCGAAAAAATCAAGAACACGGCAATACAGCAATTCAAGCAACCAAGATCAACCAAGCCACACTTTTCATCATTGAATTCATGCACAGTGGCTGTGGACTCTCTTTATGATATTCTAACCAAATTAGGCATCTAGCCCAATTTTTCACATGATTCGGGCCTATCTTGGAAATTAAAGGGAAAAAAGGAAAGGGAAAAAAGGAAAGGGAGTTTGCTTTCGTGAGGATTTGATGGATCAATAATGTTGTTATTGGGTATGGTAAACCATTTTTGTCATTCGTTGACCACACGCGAATAATGTGATGAGACCCCCATACTAATAGAAGCGTGTTTCCAACATTCCATCTGAACTTTCAACAGGATCTGGTGGATAAAAAGCCGAAATGTGTATGGAGTCCTCGATATATAAAATTAACTTCTGCCAGGGACTGTCCAATTGATAAGATTGAGTGCGCAAGGCTTCGGATAATCGGAAAATTCTTTATCCACTATTGTTTCCTGTACAAAACATCTCCTTCTGCTCTGCGTTATCGAATAAGGAGAGAGACTTGAAAACTTTGCCCTTTTCAAACGAGATCTAGAGTATCGTCAATGAAGCACAAAAAGGAGGTGCAGAGAATGGATGAAATCCATAGGTCAGATGCTCATGCTGCCACGTTCTTTGAGCCATAAGTGTCTAAACTCCAACCACGAGAGGGAAGCCCACCAGCGCCGAGACGGAAAACATTCCGCAAAGTCCAGATGCAGTCTATGATTGTGTCAGTGGAATCTTATTTTATCGGCTCCATATCTGCTCCACTTGCCAGTATTCTTCGGTCAATGTCAGTCAATATTTTGATGATTGATCTGGGCGTTGGAAACCCGAAACTATTGAAAGCCTTGACTGTTATTGTCATTACCGGACTTTGCATCTCGGGGTTATGACTCGCAAGTTTCTCAGTTACTTTCTCAGATATAGATTGTGCTGATTCCACCTATCTTTCCTCGCAGTGGCGAAATTGTGCAGGATGAAGTAAAATATTGTATTTGAAAGCAGACCATCCAGTTGATATTTGCTGGCTTCTAACTGATGTAGCTGATATCGATCTAAGGTCTAGCCACATTGTGGCTCAATTTTACCATCACATGACCTGAAATACCAGGACAGTTTTCCATCTCGAAGAATTTGTTAATTTGTAGGTCAACTTGAGACAACGTTTGTCAGTCCAGCTAATTATGTCCAACTTTTTAATCCTGGATCTCATTGTCTACACATCTACGGGTCCTTCACTTTGTTATTCATGAGTTTGTGGATATACTACAGCAATTCGAGTGAATACAAACGAGAAACGAAACCGCCCATACCGAGGTTCTTCTTGTTCCGGTATCACCACAGCATTCTTTGCGTGGTTCTGGGAGGTACTTATGAATGAGGGAAGATTTGTTCATCCAGTGTGTTTACAGAACGCCTGATCTAATAAAGATATAACAACCCAATACACACGCACATCCACCCACCTGCGGCACAATCACGCTGGGCGCCATGAAAATGTAGGCAATTGATACGATTAAGGGGTTAACTGGGCCAATAGATGATGTCGGTTGTATTTAAAAGCCATTTCCCATTTCCCAGCGCCTCGTACATACTCGAAGCACCCAACATCGAGTGGGCAAAGACTTGAAAGTCAACGTGGGATCGTTATGAGAGCTTTGTCTAATTCTGAAAGCCTGGAATCGCCGTTTGCAAGTGGTGTGAAGATTCACTATCTACAGTTGTCGATTTGATTCCATCGTTGCAGGAGTGGTAGAGCTTCGCCATTCTTCAGCTCCAATTTCTCACACAGGATTTGATCGATTTAGTTGGCATCAAGAGATAAGGAGACGCGGCTATCTTTCTCGGCGGGTCTTTTGAGTCTCCTTGAGCTTGCTCAATGCTGTTGATTTCAAATTCACATGATTTCCATATCCTCCAAATCGTTCTTCCTTCTTAATTGAATAAGAAGACAAGGTAATCAAATGACTGAAATGGTCGTCATATCCCCTTCCTTTTGCTCAACCCTTTTTAGCCATGCGTTTTCAGGGATTTACTACAGCTTTTCGTGCTACAACGGCAATAATGTATGTTCACTGCTATTACGATTTATAAACTCATGAATTGACATATAAGTCTTGTTGGCGATTTATATTTCTGTCAATTCTGACCTGACTGAAAATTCACACGTGGTCATGCCTAACAGTTTCGATAATACTAAAAGATGGGAAAGAACTAGGTAGATCTGCTTTTAAACAAAGAAACGAGTAAATCCTATCCTGGTGATAGAACCCCTAGATTGAAATATTCTCGTTCGCCTGTTCTAATTAGATCATACATTCTCCTATCTTGCAGGTCCATATAAGCACAAAATATCTTCTAAAGCACGTTGACCATCGGAATACACGTGCAACTCCTCAGACCAAAGCAACACAATTGAGCAAGATGCCATTCACTATGCTTCCACAGTACCCACCCTAGTTCTAGCTTGAAGCTACTCTCTATTCGTGGGATCAGGATATGGAGTCTCCCCGCAAAGGGTTGTGGCAATTTTCTTTCCAGCCCTCCTTAAAAGCGGGAAATACTCCGTCCCGTGTATTGACATTAATCGAAGTTATGGACAAGATACATCAGCACCATACGTTCCCCGAGGTCATTTCTGAGATGGGTGTCTTGATAAATTTAGGTACTAGCACGGAAACTGGCATTTGATGGCCTCATGCTGCCCAATATCCGGAAAGTCACCCAGGCAACTATCCACGATCTAAGATGATTATCGAATGATAGTTTTGAGACCTGGTGTTGCTGAAGACACGTTCAATTATGATTGTCGTTGTCAGTCGATAACAGATGTTACTGGGTTTGGTTTTCATCTTATCTTTAAGACGATTACCAAGTGATATAATGAATTAACGGTGCCCAGGCAATGGCCAGAAATTTCGAAACACAGGAAAAGACACGCAAAACACAAGGTCATTCCCGATATTAGAGTTCTTAGTCGCTTCCCTTGACGGTGAGCGATCATGAACATATAGCTCTACGGTTTAGGTGGAAAAACTTCAGCGACGAGGCGGTTCAAATATTGTGAGTCCGATATACATACGAGAAATGTGCAAAGAAGTGAATGATTAAGAGCCTGAGCGATTAGTGAGCTTTATCGTCTCCATCATTATCTTGCCTACTGGTATGCGAAAAAATCTAGAGTTTATGAGGGATACAAGCTGGAATGCTATATTCTCAAGAAGTTCGATACTTGATACCACATCTTAATCTTCGAAGGACGTACTTAGTCAGTAAAGCTCACAATCCAGAATTCCGGGACAGCCCGTCCCGTTTTGATAACTTGTTCGCACTGGAAATCTAGTGCACACACCTAGAAGCTTACTGACTATATCGAAGGATAACGAAAAGCCCCTGCTCTTCTCGTCTGATCTATTCAACTATCACAGCCTGGTCTAAATTCTGTTGTCCTTTGCACATGAGCAGATCAACATTCTTACTCATGGGACGATGGTACGTTAAGCTAACTAGTTCAATAGTCTCACTTTTGAACTGCTCTGTATTTCTGTAATCTTCAACGATTCGACTCCCAAGCTTGGTATACAGGTCCCCAAATCACCTCAAGCTTCGCACTTCCCATGCAATTGCAGCCAGCCTCTCTCTCTATACTCGCAGATCTATCGATTCCGGAGTAGTTCCCCCAATATATGTATAAATTTATTCACGGTGAAGATCCCCACTTCATCATTCCGTGAAATGGCGCTTGAAGTGAATCATAAACCTGGAGCCTACTTGTTTCCCCCCCTCAGCTTAAAAGACCCGCAGGACTAATAGAGGTCATGTAAGATCTATAAAACCACAACTTCAGCCATGCCTAGCTGATTCTTTCCGCAACAGCCACAGGACATTCCCAAACGAGCCAGGTACAGGGTATTATTTTCGGATCCTATCATATCTGTGCATAGTATCAAGTTGCAGCCCGAGAGCCGTACGATGCCAAAGTTCTAAAAACTTCCATTGTCGTCCAGTATTTCTATTCTCTTCTGCCATTGACACTATACACCCTTGAAATTTGTGACAACGAGAACACGCTTTCGAGCTTTCGCTATCTGCAACTCAGCCCATCATCAATGCCCAAGAAATAGTCGCCAATTCCTTTTATCTCATCTCATCTTATCTCACCACCGTTC